TATTTCGAATCCGCGAAATATCCGATCGCTGTATGCGAGTACGCCTCGCACGGCGTACGACGGATCACACGCCACGTGGCGTCGCGATATTCCGAAATCCTGCCGACATTCGGCACGTCAACACGCAATAATTCGCACAACTTAAGAGGATGCTGAAAGGTCGGGAATTATCGACAATTGCAGTTGGAACAATAACTTCGAAAATACTGAACGGAATTAAAATCGCTTTTACAGGATTGAAATAGATATAAAATGTAATGGGGCGAGCTATTTTTTTGTAGTAAAAACGACAAAAATTAAAAAATACGTTTTTCGGGTCGTACAGCAATCATAACCTATCACTTGACGTAAACATTTTATCGGTATAAAAGTTCTATAGCTCATACGTACAAAATAAGTAGCTCGCCCCCTTCGGATTACAGGAACAAATAATACAAGACCTTTTGAGCTACAATTGAAAGCTTAGAAAAAGGTTTATCGTTCCAACTGCAATTTATGGTAATTCGCACGCTTAGCTAACGTAAAGACAGCAAAAATTGCGTCTAGCAGTAAGTGCCGGATTTTTCAAGAGATGGCACTTCAATAAGTTAGATAAGGACATTCCACGTATTTGAGTGAGACCAAAAGATATTGTAAAAAGTTCATTTAGAGATACCACTGACACTGAAGCGTCTGCTTTATCAACTTCGTACAAATTTGGCCGACCTTTCAGCATCCTCTTAAGGGTACAAACGAAACGGAAAGTGGTACAAACGGGTACAAACAATCCCGAAACAGCACCCGCTTGCGGATTTGAAAAATTTCAAAGTGGGGTGCTAGCATTTTTTTCAACCCTTTATAATTTTGAACCCCTTGAGATACAAACGAAAAAAAGGTGGAACAAACGGATACAACCCGAGCTTAACTTAATGCGCATTTGAAAAATTTTTTTTTTAAAGTCGAGTACTAGGTTCACATAGGTCATTTTACTGTTATTCTCTTGTATAATCCGTCATTTTCCCTTTTAATCGAGCTTTCTTTAGACTTATTCTGGTCTTATGATCGATTAAGTTTATCCCTTAGTTAGCTAACCTTGACTTTCTTATATTACATTGTCATTATGATCTAGAAAAAGGAATAGAAAAGCAGTTATCCAATCTCATCCAATCAGATTACCAAAAATTAATAAGAGCAACTGTTCATTGTTCTAAGTACATGATCGACTTACACGCGCATGAATCAAAGTAATAAATATAATAAAAGCAGCTTCAGTTGTTTTAGCTTTTCTTGCACGACAATAATGTAAACGATTTATTCAGTTAAATCCCTCCCCCCTTATCCTATTACCTTTTCTCCTTTTAGCTTTCGTTTCTTCTCGCGATAAACAATGCTTTCTATTTACTCCTTTTGCCACTTACTCTATTTACGCGTTCATATGTTATCCACTAAGCTCAGCTCAATATCTTCTTGGAGTTTTTTTTTCGATTTTCTCGTATTTTTATTGTTCCGCTTATATCACCAGTATCAATCATTATAGCTGAAACCTTTTCTCTATTTTACTTTGGAATATAATTTCGGGTCGTTTGTCTCCCCTCTTCCTGGCGGTCTTTCATTTCTATCTATTCTTTTCCTTATCTTCTTTTTCAGTCACTGACTCTTTATCTTTATTTTTCTGCTATATCTCTCTCGCTCTTTCATTTTTTATCGTCGCGTTCCTCATCTTCTCGACGTATGTTGTTTCAATTACAATTTTAATTTGTGTGTCTTATTTAAATTCTCTTATTCAAATGTATTTCGTATGACATTCGTATTTATCTAATCAATAATTCGTAAGAAGAACGGTTTCTCTTGAGTTTAAATATATTTGCCGTCACTTTCCTTTTATATTTAAGTACCTCACATTTCCCGCTCGTTACCATCAAATCAACTCCACAAATTACAATTTTATGTTACTTTTTCACGCTAGTTTTATTTGACAAGCGGCACTAGAAAAAAATTCTTTTTTTCTTCTTTTTCTCACTATCATTTTTTGCTTTTCTTCCGTTTCATTACCAGACCTCACATGGTTTTCTTGTTCGTTAAATATTATGTTATTTTTCAACTTCCTACTGCAAGGCAGAGATACTTCGTTTAAATACTTCCATTCATCCATCTTCAACAAAACGACGCGCAGATGAACTTTACGGTTCGCTTCCTTGTTGTCAATTAGTCTGATAGCAACGTTTTGTTGAGGCAAAATAATATGCAGTAAATTTTCATTTGTCACTATTGGCGGAATTTTTAAAAACTAGAGGCGCGCTTTGCTATATAACTTTTTATTTACTACTTTTTACTATATTTGCTTAAATGTTCGAATATTTAAATGCATACAATTAATATTATACTATTACTATTGCACTATTAACTCCTTGATATATATAACTATTGAAATATGCATAGCGAGAGAACAAAATGCTTATCAGCACGTGAATAAACTTTCATGTATTGATCGAGTATCAATTTAACATGCCTTTTTTAAAAGTAGATGCATGATTTTATGTCAATTGAAAAATAAAATCGCTATTCATTATATAATAATAAATTATGTGTGTATTGACTATTTTAAAAATAAATATATATGCAAATATGTATGCAACAATTCTTTAAGTGATTCTTTGAACATTAAAACAACATAAATAAATATATAAAATTTATATTTGAGTTCAATATATATATTGAACTCAATGCAAAATAAAATACATATTATATAAAACTTGCTTCTAATTGCAAATGTAAAATAATTTACTAGAAAGCAGTAAAGAAAAACTAAAGGGAGAGAAAAAAAGACACAAAAGAAGAATGAGTACTACGCCGTCAGGTAAATTCTCGACTTTAATGAACGTGCGAAAGAGTGCAACTTGAAAATGAGAGTCACCCTCCCTGGCAGAGCCAGTAACTTTTCCATAAGACGAACATCTTTGGAATGTTCTACGTTGACAAA